AGGGAGACCTGTGGAATCGTAGATTCACTGAGGTTGGAAAAGACCTCCAAGATGACTTAGTCTAACTGCCAATGTATCCCCACCATAAAACATGAGGTGTGGTCCTTAGGAACGTGGTTTAGTGAACAGTGGTGACAGAGGGATGGTTGGACACAATGATCTCAGAGGTCTTATCCAGTGCCGTATGAGCTGAGAACGAATAGGTGCTGGAATGAAACATGTAAACCTTACTCTTCTTGTGGCGTATACAACAAGGCCTGAACTACACGTTGCTGTAATGTAATGAATTTCACAGTGACTGCTGCATAAAGGCCCGCGTGAGAAGCTCAGTGCCACCCGCTGCTGCTGGCTCCCACAGCCAGCTGCTGTGAGGGGCTCCTTCATCGCGTTCATAGGAGAGGCTTAAGAACTAACCTTCTAATCTCATTTTTTAAATAACAGTCTCACCATCTGTTCCTTTTGCTGCATATTAATACTTCTATTTAATTTTCGGTTTGTATTTCTACTGTGTAAATCAGATTATTTCTGTCTTTCAGCAGTCTTAAACTAGTAGATTTTAGAAAGCATGGAATTGAATACGAGAAGCCTAAACGTAATTAAATTGTTACTGACCTCCTTCCTTTTAGCTGCTACAAGATTATTCATGATTCAGAACAAAATCGGGAAGCGAGAACTTGGAGTTCCAATCTTACAGCTGCCGTTGACTCATTTGTTGTCCTTTACCAAACCATTTTCTCTAGGCATTCTGTCCAGGAGCCTGGAATTCCTAGCAACAACACTTTCTGTGAAAACATCAGAAATATTCAAATCAATCTTTTAATTAATAAAGCACAAAATGCTATTTAATTTCCAAGTGTTTAATCAAATATCTATAGGAATATGTTTACATAAAGACTTTTCCTCCTATTCTGAATTCATTTAAAAACAAATACTAATGTTTCCGATTACAGTAAAGATGTTTCCCATGTAATTATACCCTAAGAAAAAAGAACAATGCTATTATTGAACCATAGAATGACTTAGACTTAAAGGGACCGTAAAGCCCACCCAATTCCAACCCCCTGCCATGGGCTGCTTTGTCCCCATCAGCTCAGGCTGCCCCATCCAACCTGCCTTGAGCACCTCCAGGGATGGGGTACCCACAGCTTCTCTGAGCAGCAGTGCCAGGGCCTCGCTGCCCTCTGAGCAAAGAATTTCTTCTCAACATCTAACATAAATTTCCCTTCTTTTAGTTTAGTTCCCCCTTGTCCTATCACATCAGACCATATAAAAAGTCAGTCCCCCTCCTGTTTTTACACTTTTTTTCTTATTTACAGCTGAAAGAAACGGCAGCCAATTTTTAATCCAGCACTGAATTACTTCTGAGCCACATTCAGTCTACTGGAACTTCCAAATAATAACAGCCAACCCTCTATATTGCCAAGTGGAATGGCTTTAACATTGTGACAGTTCATAGTGAAGTTGTGGGTGTCATATTAAAACACCGGTGTGCTAACATCCCAAATTTCTCTCCCTGAAATAAGTAGGAAAGCTATGGATCACGATGGAGACCAGGCTGCTCGATTTTAGTAAGGTTTGCTCTGATAGTATTCTCTGGAGAGCTTTCAGGCTCTCTGTGACTACTAACAGTTCTCAGGTGAAAGCAGTCACAATTGCTCTCCATGCTGCACAGATAACAACAGGCTGAAGCATGAAAAGAAAACATTTCTGACTCGTTCTCTTCTATAGTAGTGGCAGAGCATCCCGTTTTGACCCCCCACGCTATTCATGAGATTATTCACACAATTTTGTCTTAGGGAGCACCTCTGCTTGCTATAATTTTTAATGCAAACAGTGCCAAATCAGCTGCTTTTCTTGAGAACAGACTGAATATTGCAAGAGGGAAGGGAGCAGTACCAGTAAGCAAGAATCTGTGATATGAGGAATTTTTACTACCTTGCAGCTGTACAGACCTAGTACTAAATAGAATATTATCTGAATTATCACCTTAGCATGGTTAGTTGGTCTAATATTCAGGCAGATACATTAAAATGAAAAATAAACTCTTCATGAAGCCTGACTAAAGAGACCAGGGTGTCCCTTACAAGCCTTGGCAGAACAAGGTTTTCTCAGCAAGGTGCTGATTAGAAGAAAGAGGCGTATCTCAGCCCTGCTAGACCAAGATGTGAAAGGCAAGTTCAAAACTCCCTGACAGACCATGTTTCTGCCCACACAGACACAAGATGCTGCTGGTCACGTAATTGGCAGCATCTTGCTGATCTGAGTGTTGGGACCGGTTTTAAGTTAGGAGCTACAAAGCATGCTTTTTTCCTCTTGCTTCTAAACCCTTCACTGCTTATTAGAGAAGGAAAATGTGCACATGTGCTAGGAAAGATAGAATATAGCTGAAAAGTTGTTTTTCTTAGAAACAGCATCAAAAAGAAAAACAACTCCACAACCTTCTCCCTTTGCGAACAGAGCAATCCCAGGTACAGAAAGCAGCTGTTACTAAGATTAAACTTTGTTCAAGTGGTTGTATTTATTTAAGCTGTCAGCAGAATTTATCACTTCTAATGGCTATACAGCAAAGCTCACGTCATACCAGTTTTGCAGGAGCCTTATGCAGAAGTTGCTGGCTTTGTAAGTATAGGTTTTCAGCAGGAAGTTCTATTGGAGGTTGGATTACAAAAATGTGTGTCGTACAACTTGGGCTCACCAGTCTAGCACCAAGCACACCGACAAAGTGGCAACAAAAGCTTTGTCAGTAACAGCATAGCTCTTAGAGGTGTGGCAAAACTGAAGGGAAAAGAAAAATGCAGCTATTATCTTTAAGACACAACCATTTGCTTGACTTGATATTGATGATTCACATTCAAATAGCTTACTATACTCATTACAAAAGTACAAGCCTAGGATAAGTTTCAAGAAGTTCAGGTTCGGTTTGTGCTCAGCTCTGAACCTTTTAAAGCCAACTTTCTGTTCCAGGGTTTAACAATTCACCGAGGGGCTTTTGAGTAATGAAAATTTCACTTGAGAATTTGAGAAGGAGAAACACAACATCAAGCAGTTCCATATGCACCAACTACATCTGGTGTTTTGCAAAGCATGTATATTGTACGTATGTACACTTTTCTAGCAGTGCTACTTGGAATATGCAATGATCAATTCACTACTGCAGAGCAGAGTGCACTGTCACCTCGGTCCTTGCTACCTTTCTAACTTAGACTTCCCTCTCTGTATTTGCTTGCCTGTCTGCATTTTATTCTTCGTTTAACTTCTGACTTGGGGACTATTTCAAAACTCATGACTGCAGTGAAACAGTGGCCGTCAGGAGCTGCTGACAAGTGACTTAGCATGATCCACTGCCTGGCTTCTGCCAATCGGCCAGCAGAGCCCAAGGAGCAATTCTTGCACAGACACCTCTTGTTCAACATCTCCTTTCCGAACAGAAATCAAAACAAAGCCAAACAGTTCTCTGAACCAACTAGAGCTTCTAAATCATCACCACCATAATCCCAATTAGTTAATGTCAGATATTTGTTTGTCAGTAATACTTAGGCTAATGTTAATCTTGCATCTAAAGGCACACATGCTGCAAACTTCACCATACAAAGTCTGTGCCATTGTTTCACTTACCTACAACAATAATAAATAGCATTAAACAAATGCAGTTGTCTTTATCAGACAGGCTTTTGTTCCGAAGGGGCAGATTCAAAAGGCCTATCATGCTCACTAAACCAACATGACACAGATTCATCATATTTCAATCTACAGTTTCTCTGATGAATCTCAAACTTTTTCATTCTTTAAATTCTCAGGAAGTTACCATGTCTGCAGTTTTCTATATCCCTTTTTCCCCCTCTTTTAATAAGTATTTTGGCATTATTTTAATTTATACTGTCATTAACATCTGAGCTTGTATGTGTGTCTGCTCCTTGCTTAGTTTTTTGCATGTCTAAGTAAGTTCTAATTGCTGAGGCTGTATACGATGCACAGCCAGTTGCACAGAGATGCTAGGCCTTTGAACTCCAAAGAGAACATGAAAGAGATGCGCAGAACTGGTTTGAAAATGGTGAAGAGTATTATAGCAGCTGTTCTGTAATGCACTGCAGAAACCTGCTGGTTTGAGAAAGCACAGGCACTTCTGCTCATACTGGAAGGACAAGTATAACGAGCCTGCTCCAGAACACCGAGTCCTATGCTATGCCAACGGGCCTCAGTCAGTAGAGATGCAGGATGTTAGGAGCATGTGAGAGCTGACTTTTTCAGTGTATCCCGGGTCCGTGATTTACCACTAATTAATGGCAAATCAATTGTCAGTCTGGAAGCTGCTGAAGTCTGTGGCAGCAGGAAGAAAATTAGTTATGTGTGAGCTAGCAGTATGACTAGATAGAAGGAAGTCAGGAAGGTTTGACACAGTAGGATATGGCTCACTTCAGCATGAAGCCTGGTTACTTCTGGACCAAATATGGGTTAAAAATGCCAGCCTTAGGTCTAATAGTGCAGTTTCAGAGTTTGGGTTACATCTGGTTCTTGCACAACTCAGTGAACAGAAGGATTAAAGAGTTTTTTCTCTGAATGTTAAACAAAGCTTAGGAAGCCTGTCGGAATGAGTCACCCAACCAAATTAAGGTCCTGATCTGATATGGGCGTAGACCTTACATCAGGTTTCTAGGCAGAGGTTACATCACTACTTTTGAATATACCTTGGTAAATATTGGAGCCAGAAAGGGCACTGGATTAGGAGTCCACGTAGCACAAAGCGTATTTTACTTGCAGTTTCCTTACAGACTGCCAAGTCAAGAAAAGGCAAAAGCCATCTCTGAGGTACTCATGCAGCTACCAAGTAGAGACAATGCCTAATATTTACCAGAAAGATGAGTTAGGCTGAAGGAACTGGCCACTGACTAAAGTCAAAAATAGTCAGTTAGCAAAGAATAATCTCCATCCTGCTCAAACCTGGGGTGAGGTCAGAAAGCAGCGAGCTGTTGCTGGAATACAGATGGCAGCTAATCAAACAGAACCTGCCAAGGTCACCCTGCACACAACAGCTGTGGGGCTCCCACTGGCCCCACAAGCACGTTCCTGCATTTTGGAATATCGATGGAGATTTCTCTGAGGAGCACATAGAACCTCATGCTCTGACCTACTTTCTTTAGGCTTTGTTACACTTCTGTCCTAGGCAAATAACCTATTAGAGGTTTCTTTGTCTCCCCACGGGAAAGCTGGGGAGTAGTACATACACCTTTAAATACAATAGCTTTCATAGTCTCTCTAAAGATCAAGGAAGAAGTTTTCTGCACTATGCTTTCCTTAGATTTAGTAGAGGAAAATTTTAGTCAAGGAACAATCTGAAAACTAAGTGCTATCCCCCACTGTTGCTAGGAATCATGTTTACCAACCAGTGGGAACCCTGAGTACCCATTGCAGTAAAAATCGAGCTGCACTGTTCTCTTTAAAAGTCTCAGGTTTACATATGACAGAGCAGTCCAATAGTAGGTTTTTTTATAGAAAGGAAGCGTGTGGAAAAAAAAAAAAAAGCAAGCTAGTGGAAGATGACACCAGAATCACCCAAATTGTCACATCCACGTTCCATGTCAAACGGGGGGGAAAAAAAAGTAAAACCTGTGACAGCTATCCTCTACATCTCCATCTGTAATGTTTTCTGCATTTGACAAAAATATGAATCACTTGAGGGTATAGAAAACATAACACTTGTTTCACACAACACAGAAATATACAACCTAAACCTGTCATGAAAACAATACTGTGATAGAGATGACAGACTATCTAGTATGCAGTGTGAATCCGTATGTGTGGAGAACTAACTAATCAAGTTCAATGTTTAGAGTTAAACAGGAGACAGCTGTTCAATCCCACTGAACACTGTCAAGTTCTGAAATTAAGGTAAAACCAAGAACTCTAAATATTTCTAAAACAAGAGTGACTGGTGGTGCTCAAAATATGAAGCAGCCTTTTGGGTGGGATGTTTTCTCATCATTCAAATTTGATAGATTTCTTTCACATTCAAATCAGTCTTTTGGTTATTTTGAAAATGTGGATAAAAGATGTGGGGGGGAACCCAGGAAGAAAAGGAAATACTGTTGTGACTTGTTTTGATAAGACAGCATCAAGGGTAAGAAATCTTCCTAATTAAGATTTTGTTGAAGTAGTAAATTAGTTCAAATTAATCCATATTGATTTCCAAAATTTTTAATTTTCTGCCATTAGTCTAAGACTAAATTAACTAGACTTTTTCTCAAATAAATCAGGAAATATTTCTATTGCACCTTGATTTTTTAGGCATAATCATTTTATTAATATACTTACTTGTTTTCCTGAGAAAACAGAATGGAAGCCTTTGGTTACTTAAAATCTTGATTAAATAAAATGGAGTATGGAGTAACAAAGTGATCCTGTCCTTTCTTTTTTTTACTGAAATACCCAAAGCAAAGGCATGTTGAAATAGAAACAGCAACAAAAAGAACAAAACCCTGACCTTTCAACCTGTCTGCTTATTGAAGAAAAATATTGAATGCACTGTAAGAGATCACTTAGGTCAGTCTGGATCATTCTTTGACTGTGCAATATAGCAAAAAGAATTCATTTTTTCAGGCTCTGAGTACACATGCATATTCCAAGCTGTCATCTCTTTTTCTAGAAGTGTCTTTCCTGTAACTTTTATCACTCCTTGTTTTTGAAGCCTTAGTTTCCAGAAACTTTCAGCTGTCCCTACAATATCAATAGATACATCTATCACAGTCCCCATAATGACAATAAATCCCAGCAATGTAACTACTTTGCTGACACAAACTTAGTTACGATGGAAATTTTTATCCCATCAACATCATTGACTAGAAGGGCTTTAATTCATCATCTGTGATTTACTGTCTCTATAATTCACAGATATAATCTCTAGGGTCGGGAGTCTTATGGAATTAAATTAAAGTGATTTTAAGAAAGAAAATTAGAACACACGGATTTGCTCAGACCAGAAATCCATACAGCTCAATACCCTGTATCTAACTCATGACTCAAAGAACGGAGCCCACAGGGAGAGTGTAAGCACAAAACATCCATCTGTGCTTCTGCAAAATACACTCCCAGGTTACCTACAGCTTGTGGCTTCGTGAGACAGGGACACCATCTTACATGTCATGCAGCTGCTGATCCACTCTTGTGTGGATGTGTCCATTGCTTTCTGCACCCACACAGATTTATAGCAAAAGCTTAACAGTGTCTAGAGCACAAGGATATAAAGGAATAAGCCCACTACTGCTTGAATATATTACTTTTTTGAGATGGAATGAAAAACCAGGTTTCTCCTCTTTAGTAGCTCTGGCTGGATCAAGCTATAGATGTGGAATGAGATAGGGTACAGATAACTACATTTTCCTTCTCTGCCTGCAGGGAACTTCCTCCCACGTGTGAGCATACAGGCACAATGCAATATTAGCAATATGTTAAGGCAAGAAAAGGACATGTTGAGAAGCCATACTCTCCAACTGCATTTTGGTACGAAGTGAGATGCTATACTCACATGTGTTACCCATGATTTTAACTGCTACTTATACAAGACATCTCTTAATTGTAAACAGTAAGAACAGGTTCTACTTCCATGACTGACTGGCTACAAGATAATTCTCCTACTGCATTTGAGTTTTGATCCTGACATTAAATACTGCTAGAAGCTGTGATGGTTTCCCTGTTGAGCTCTGAAGCTAGGAAAACTTGTAATGCATCCAATAAGTCCTAATATTAATATTCTGTTATGCCTTTTGAACTACACAGAAGCAAAACCTACACACAATTTCACAGTTCTTGTTGCATCTTAACTCTGATTTGACTTTCCAGCCTGCAGGCTTGGCCTTTGCTGCCAGAGAAACCTTTGGGGACTTACAATCCGCAGAAGTAGGCTGTGAGAAGCTGAAGCACAGAATGGACGTTGCTCTTTCGACTGTGCTGGTAAAACAAGAAATTCTGAGTGGTCTAATGTTCAGCCATGGAAGAACAGTTTTACTTTTATGCTTGCTTTTTGGTTTCTGTTCTTGACTGCAAAACAAACCAAAGAAAACTGTGCTTTGGATTCCAAAGGAATTGAAAACATTACAGAAGTTCACTTAAGTTAACTTGATTTCTCTTGAAAAGCTTTTTTCTCAGTGATGGTTTTGAACCCTACACATTCTTTTCAGGCCATACTACTAAGTTCACTTCTCTGAAATCTCTTTCTCTTTACTGAAGGTATTCTTAATATACAGACACACAGAAATGCACAGAGTGGCTGAGACTGAGGCAGGAGGAGACCTCTGCATACCAGCTGGTGGAGAATAACTGCCCTAGTGATTGACAGTCTGTGCTTGCTGCATAATTAACAATCACTCATTTACAGAGTAGCTAGCACAAATGGAAGGCATTTTGTAAATGGACATCTTTGGTACAGTAATGATGGTACAGTATGATGTTTTTCTTATCTCCCCTTTCCCTGATTAACTCCGTATCTCCACTGACACAAACTGTTTTACACTGACATTTAAGAAAACATGATCTTTATATGCTTATCCTTGCTCATACAAGAGCACAGTGAAGCAAAATGAAGAGCTTCTGCAAAAGAGTAACTTGAGTATAAGTGGGAGTGGAAAGCAGATTCTACTTTTTTAAGTATACATAGACAGGAGCTGTGCCAGATCTTCCTCACACCAGGTCTCAAGGATGCATTAAACACTTCAGTTTTGCAGTCCGCCCCACTCATCAGCACTCATGACTCAACACGATTTCTGACACATTATAAAAATACATGTCTTTATATCAGTGAATCAGCCTGCTCATGCAGGTGGATTGCTCACAAAGCGTGGTGAGAACAGAGAGGAATGCCTCAGTAAGTTTTCCTGAAGTCCTGACTTGGATTATGTGCTCGGCTTTGCTTCTGGGGAAATATCCCTGCAGCACCATGTGGAGACATCCCAAGGGGAACACCACTGGTTCATGCTGGCAAGAACCAGCAAACTGTTGGAATAAGTAACAAAGTGAAGCTGCCTACCTTCATTGCAGGGATAGGAGATAGTATTTGGAGTAGGTCAACAGCCGTACCCAAGATTATTAGGATGAAGGGTCTCCAATTGCTCGCAGTCTTTTGAAGCATAAAATTGTCTTTCATGTTTGTTATCAGAGTAAGATGACCAACTTACTGATCCACTCCACCGTTCCCCTTCCTTCCTGTGATCCTAGAAAAAAAAAAAAAAAACAATCTGTAATAATTAACAAGCTTAGTTTTTTAGGCCTGTACAGCTCACCTCAGTGATGTGATCTCCACGCACAAAAAGGGACAATCCTAGCAGGTTTATCACTCTTCACAACACCCAGTTCAGAAGAGTCCTTGCTACAAATTCGTTCCTCCCTGGGAAATGTCATTTCCACCTTCCGTCCACACTTGAGTAGCGTATTTATTACTTACATTTTACACTTCCTGAAGTTCCCAGGCACGTTACCGGGTACCAAGACTAAGTAGGGAGTATCTGTTCCTTCCTTCGTGATGCAAGACAGAACTACACAGCTGGGCTGGAGGACAGTTCATTCCTGAGTGACATTGCTCACACTTTGCTGGGACTCTAGTTCTCTTCTAGAAAATTCTTTTCATTCCTATCAGAAGTAGACCCATTTCTATTCATAACAAGTCTTAAGCATGAAAACTAACAGGTAAGAATCAGTAGCTGTCTCTCAGTCAAACTTCTCTACGTGAGGGAGATGGCACAGGACACGGATGTGTACAAAACAAACGCCTCTGACTAGAACTACGGCATTCTGTTCCTCTAGACTCGCTCTAGGCATCCTGCTACGAAACATCTTGTCCTGCTGCTTAGGTTGTGAATTATTCTGACCTTATTCCTCAAAGCTCCTGTCTTCTTCAGCAGTAGGAAGGGCAGCAGGAGTAGGCATTGTGTCTTGACAACTTTGCAAAGCTGAAACTGAGACTCTGCACCAGGTTATGGCCTCCACACTGTGTGAGGCACACCATTCTGGAACGTACAAGGCAGGGAAGTCACTGCTGGAAGTATGCAGCAGCACAAATGATAGGGAAACATTTATTATGCCAGAGGGTTGTGCTGTGCCAGAAGGTCAGACATGACCTGCCTGTTCCAAAGGAATCATGTACCACCAAGTGCTTTGTCAAGTGATGAACACATGCAGTATGATTTACGATGTAAGTTACTCCTTGCACTTGTTTCAAATTTCTTGAATATGATCATCTTCAAATAGCACAATGCATTCCAGAAAAGGCTTACAAGAACCTCATAAAACAGCACTATTACTCCCCCCTCCCACTCTGATTACTTCCCGATGCATTCCATGGTCATGCTTGTCTTTCTCATCAGCACAGTACATTCATGATTCACAGTCATTCTGTGATCAACCAGTACACACAGTTATTTTCAGCTTGTCACTATTTTCAGCTTATGAACTTCCATACTACAGCAGAGGCTTGTATTGTTAGTTAGATATTAACTAACAATATTTTGATTTTGGCATCATTTCTCTTACTACAGTCCTCAAAATCATCTAGTTATTTCAGTTGGAAATGTAATATTAATAGCATACTACCTGTGTTTCATTCTCTGCTTCAGTTAAATTATTGCTATAAGCAATCTATCATAAATTCTTGGTGCACTTTGCAATCAAGTTCAACCCTCTACCATGCACATTCTTTGCAGTACAAGGCTAGTTTCTCAAAATCAGCTATCTGGAACATCTGACTATTTCTGATAGAATCTGGCTCTTCTGCATAGATGAGTAAGAGCAGTATCTAGGCCAGAATGAACAGAAGGAAATAAATACAGCAGAGAGATGATATTGTCACATGGGCTTTCTGAATACATACATTTTCTGTAACAATTACCTTTTTTGTTTTCTATCTGACAAACATTAGAACAGGTTCTGCTAAATTTCTTGACATAAAACAGAAGAACTATGAACTTAAAGACAGCTTACAGCTCTACTGCATTGGTAGAGAGCTTGTTCAAGAACTGAAGATTCAGCAAGACTATAAACACACTCACCCAACAACAGGGAGACAGCATCCAACTCCTGTCACATCTTTAGAGGAGTTTTCTATCTTTGATAAACAGTGCAAGAAAAAGTGTTCACCTGTGAAATGAGATACCAGTTTAAAACTCCAATCTCACAATCTTTTCTTCTGTCACGTAATATATGGTATGAACTAGACAGCAACAAGTAAATGCCTGCATGACAAAAAAACAGGTGCTTGTTAATATCTGGGCTTGTTAGCTTTCAGTGTGTTTACACTGACACAGTAATCAATATCATATGAATTCCTCAATGATTATCTGCAGAATACTTGCACTTCACAGATAACAGTACAGATTTCGTGTCCAGCAGGGACCCCTGGTGGTTAGTGTAGTTATGGCAATGACAAACATTCCTGGCAAAAGTTGGATCAGCCCCTCTGAAACCAGCTTCTTTACTGCGTTCACCTGAACTGCAGTCTTCCTCAGGTGTAAAGGAACAATATATAATCGTACTACCATCTTTTAGCCGTAGGAACCTTACATGTCTGTAAGAGCTTAGCCTTACAAGCTCTCACGCCCTGTACTTGCGTGGTGCAGAAGCCAATTACGAGGCAAATCCTAGAGCCCTGCTCCTCCGGAGGCAGGCTTCTGAGTCTGAACTGCAAGCAAATACTTTGCCAAGTTGCCTGACAGAAGAGGTCCCTTGCACTCTTGCAGGATACTCTACAGCTCTTGGTCTTTCTGTTTCTCAAGGACAGCTGTAGCAAACCAATGCACCTTAAAATCATATGCTATCAAACAGCATTCGCTTACTGCCTTTCAGCTGACCTACCTCATCAAAATTATCTACCAGGCCTTGCAAAAAAATAAAACTTTTAAGTCATTAATACTTTAAGGTAACCACTGTGTGTAAACAATGAATATTAAGATGTTATAACCACAAGAGAGTTAGGCAAAATAGACTAGGACAATAAAGAGAATAAATGGAAGACTTGCCTACAGAAAGCACCAGAAGAAGGGATCTCCAGAAGAAACCCTTCCCCTCTGGTAGCCAGCTCTTAAATAGGTCTAGGAGGGGCCCAGGCTGCACCCCTTCCGGCAGCACAGCTGAATTGCCTTCACCTGTACTCCTCTGGCTGACTCACGGCTTGCCTCAGGTGATCAGAGGTTCAGGCCGTAACTCAGCAGTTCCCATACACACTGTAAGCCACAACTCACTTTCAAGGAGGCTATTAAATACACATCTGTCGTGCAGGATTTTACAACATCTCACGCTTGTATTTAGAAAGTACTTTCGGATGTAGACAAGGATTGCTGTAAGTCACACGTAGCCTTCTGTCGGCATCTCTGCTCCGTGCTCCTGTCCCTACCCTGATCCTTCTCCTTGGCTTTATCTCCTGGTTTTGACTCTTGCTTTCCCAAACACAGCAGCATTCTGCCTTTCTCAGATAAACCTCATTTCATAACCGAATTCCTGTGAAAGAATCGCCTCCGGCAGAGCCCAAAATAACTCACAGCGCTGCAGTCCCCAGCACTATCCTCCGCTTCTTGAACTGCATTTGTCGGCTTCCTTACCGGAGCTACAACGCCCGGCTCGGTTCTGTAGCTGCTTCTGGGGAAGGATCATTTCAGAGCCATCGCACGGATATTTAGGGATATTTTAACATCAGAGGGCACGGTGAGACGTAGTAATTCACAAGCCTTTATCCCGCGAACCGACACGGAGGATGTCGCCGAGAAAAGAAGCGCCTTTAACGGCGCCCGCCTCCCTGAGCGCGGCGAGGCGGGCAGCGCCTCTTCTACCGCCCGCCCCCTCAGGGCCGCGCCCGCCGCGCGGCCGCGCACCCAAGCGCCGCCCTCAGCGGGCCGGCAGCCGGCGGGGCCGCCTCGTGCGCGGGGCCAGGCGGCGGCGGGCAGCCGAGCGGCCGTGCCATGCACTCCCTCGCTCAGGAGATCAGGAATTTCTCTAAGGCCAACCTGCGGAAGCAGCGCACGCGGGTGACGACGCTGACGGGCCGGAGGATCATCGAGACGTGGCGGGGCGCCTGCCTGCAGGTGGAGGAGGAGGCGGAGGCGGTGCCCGGCGGCGGCTTCGTGCGGGACCTGAGCTGCGACCTGCAGGTCGGCGCCGCGCGGCCCTGGCTGCTGCTGGGTGAGTGAGCGAGGCGGGCGGCGGGGCCTGTCGGCGCCGCGGGGCCGCCGTGCGACGAGTTGCTCTCTCCTCAGGGTCGCAGGACGCCGCTCACGATCTGGAGACCCTCAGGAAGCATAAGGTAACGCCGCAGCGCGTCTGGCATGCTGGTTTGGCGCGGGTTTCGTTCTTCGAGACTGACATATTTTCGAGTGGCGTGAAGGGAAGTGGCAACGTCGTAGCTGCGTGTCTGAGGGCTCGGCGAGGAGCTGGGACGTGTCGCTGTTTTACGCGGCTGATCCCCGCGTTGCCCTCAGTGCAGATGTCAGCTGAGCAGAGCCAGACGTGCGTGCCTGTGGGGCTGAGAGAGGGAAGGCAGCGGCTCCAAGGCCGTCCACAGCACTGGTGCTTCTACCCTCCTCCATCAGAGCGAGGGGACAGTAAGGCCTTTAGGACGTTCTGCAGGACGGGGAGTGCGCTACTTGGGTGGCTGTTGGAATCTAAACATCAGTTCCTTGTAAATGACAACAATGTAAGCCAGCCATGGCTTGAGCAGAGTAGAGGTGGTAGGAGGCCAGACTTAGTCTCTCCTGCCAAGCACAGGAGTAGTTTACTCAGGGATCCTCGTGATCCAATAAGCTGTGCAGGTACCTGAGCAGCACAAATGGGAGGCTGATGGGCGAGGGCAGGCTTAAAATTTGGGGAGTTACTGGATGATCTCTGCTCTCCCACCACTTCTCATTTTCCACCTGTATGCTGGCGATTCCCTTTGCTGCTGAAAGTCCTTCCTTCAGTCCATGTGTTTGGGTAAGCACAGATCTTTACATTTCCTCGTATTCATCCTGAGAGGGTAAAATAGAGCTTTTCAAGCACATGCTGTGTAGCAGGAATTTTAAAGCTCATTGTCCAGATTGTTTGACAGATCTCGTGCCAGTGACCTTCCCTATAGAGTAAGTCTTCCTCACCGTCATACTCAGCACTGAGGTGTTAACCATCACCTATCAACGTTTTATAGAATCAGAGAATGATTTGAGTTGAAAGGCACCCCTGAAGGCCTCCAGTCCAAGTCCTCCACAATGAATACCTACAGCTTGATTAGGCTGCCCTGAGCCTGATTCAGCCTGATCTTGAATGAACTTGAAGAAAAGCACACCATAGATGGACATACATCTGAACAGTGTTGTTGTAGAAGTTACAATCTGTTTATGTCCAAAGAATAATATACCTTTGTTCCTGCTTGTTTTGCTTGCTGTCTTCAGAATCTTTTTTTTTTTTTTTTTTTTTTTTTTTTTTTTTTAAATTTAGGTTACACATATTCTAAATGTAGCCTATGGAGTCCAAAATGCCTTCCTTAATGACTTCATATACAAGACCATATCTATATTGGACCTTCCAGAAACTGATATCACCTCCTATTTCCCAGAATGCTTTGAGTTTATTGAGAAAGCCAAAATCCAGGTACAGTATATCTATACAATATAACTATACAGTATGGTTATTTATTACCTCCTCTTAAATCTAAACAGCTGCCTCTGTCAAAAGCCGTGTATCCACATACAGTTATGTACCAAGACTATCAGAGAATGGGTTAGTAGCTTGAAGCCATCCAGTGATTTTAACTGCTGATAAAATCCTGAGAAGTCATCACACAGGGAGTAGGATGAGTGACCTGCGTTTGGGGGTTGGTTAGCTGCTTTACATGTAAAACCAAGAGGGATGACTCCTATTTGTTAAACTTGGCCTTACTGTTTAATTTATATCAGTGGTAGCTTTGACACTATGACCTGACAACCAGACATTGTTATACATTATTTGACTATTTCTACCATATTCATTATTTACGCAGTTTGAGATAAAAGAAGACAATCTTGCCCCCGTTGGCTTTGTGTCACACAATGTTCTTTCCTTCTCTCATGTATCATTTACAAGCTATGTGATACACATTATCACTTAGTGACCTGCTGGAGGTTTCTTGTTACTGTTTCCACTTCATTTCTAAATGAGACTTGCCATTCATAACTCCACAAAGTTGATTTCTACCTCTGGTATTTATGTTCCAGTTACTATTTTGTAAACTAGGGAGTTCTCCTGCTTATTTCCTCCCCCCCACCCCTCATCAGTACTAGTGATATCGTAATGAAGATCAGGTAGTGGAATAGGTGTTCTCTAAGATTAGCTCATGAAAAATATAAGTAAAAACCACCTCACATTTTTCTCTGCATAATACCGTTGGCTGTGTCAAGTCAATGTTGAAAGACCTTATGATGAGATGTATCACGAAGTGCTATTTTGTGTAAATAATTACAAAGAGATGCTGCAGTTTCATCTCCTAAGGTGGGGGGCAAGGGATATTCACTGATGAGAAAGTTTAGATGTATAAGAAATTGTAACCAGGACGTGGTTAACTTAGGAGAAACACTTACATTGAAGAAGTGAGAAAAGTGTGCACTGTGCTATGGGTCCCTGGCAGTTATTGCTTGTAACAGGATTGAGTTTACTAACACTTGTTAACTGCTCGAGTCTGTAGACATTGTGGTACAAATGCTGATTCTGGTCACCACCTCTTTCTCTAGGCTGCAAATTAGCAGACAGATTTTCCATGACATGCTAGGTAACCAGTGTCAATAATATTGCTTGTACCTAATGCAAAATTAGTGCTAAAGTCACCTCTGTATAAACCAGCAATAGATTTTACCAAGGAAAAGTAAATGTGTTCAGTGTTATATTTGGTTTAATATTATTGGCATGTTTTCAAGTCTACTCTGTGGAGTAAGTGTGAGAAGGAAAATGAAAATGTTCCCAATGGACAGTGGGAAGGGGATGTGATTTCCATTGAAGAAGAAAAGAGGTAGTATTGTGATCAGTGAGGACTGTAAACTCAATTTCATACTTCATCTTGTAATTTAGGTTGGAGTATTTTTGGAGCAGGAATCATTTTACGCTCTGTGTATATCAATACAGCAGATAATTGGAACTTCCAGGTCTGTGTAAATCATAAGGTTCCTGCAGCCCAATTGTTCTTTTTTTTTTTTTCTTCTAAGTAAAAAGCCCATTTAATAATTTGTGCACAATAAGGACAGACAGAACAGACTAGTAATGTCAAGAATATATTTATGTAATCTCAAATAACTGAGTGTGTTCTGTCACATTTCAGTATCTTTATTTGACATCTGCAGTAGCCAATCTCAACAGCACCACCACTATCACTTGGCAAGCAGCTTGGATTGAGCCTTTACCAGGCCAGAATCTGGTATACAAAAGTGACACTATCACAACACCTGGTCGTTGTAAAGCTGGCCTACACCATACTGAGTTGTCTAGATGTCTTTGTGCCTAGTATTTTGTAAATGAAACTTACAATGTCTTTTTGAAGATTCATTCAGGTGTCTCAAGGGTTGTGTAAAAAGTGTTCAAGCAGGCTGAAAAATACTGATTTTTGTATGTAATTCAAGATAAGCTTGAATTTAACCACTAGGAGAAAGATTTGTGAATTCCTGGGAAGTTGAGTACAGATGGATACTTAATCCCCAAGTAAGGGGCCTTAGTCGAACCACCTGCACCAACAATTTTACTAGTCATACAATAGCAAAAAGGAGATTTATTGCACGTCATATAATATTTTGTCTAATTTTCATGTTCCTATCTGCAATTCCGCTTAACCAAAATTTAAATAAAGAACTCCAGAACACAAAATAAACATGCAATTAACATTACAGGATGTTCTAATACCTGCCTCTACATCTGTTTGCAATTATAACGCTATAAGGGACGGAAAATATCACAATAATAGTAGGGTAACAAAGCCTCTAGCTACAGCAAATGAGAAAGAACCCAATGACAACTGGTAGAAGTACATAAGGAAAGAAAAAGAGCTGCTTATTTAAAGAAGACCTCAGATACTTGGGGATCTCCAGAAAAATCCTCTCGCCTCCACTGCCAGCCCTTAAATGAGGTCTGGGAAGGGGTGGATCCTGGCTCCAGCCCTTCCGATCGCTCAGTGTATTGCACACACCTGAGCTCCCCCAGGTTGGCCCTGCCTTCCCACCAGGTGCTCAGTCACTGCTTTAGGCCACGACTTAGCATTGCCACTACAGCTGCCTTTTTGTGTTTTTAACTTGGTAACAATATGCAGTCTATTTCCTTCCACGTTTCAAATAAAGTAAATTTTAAAGTTAGCGCCCAAGTAGATCAAGAGTCTTAGTGTCCCAACTGTCCATGATCTGGTGTTTACGTGAGGAAGCTACTGCAAGGTCTTAGAGAAGAGAACAGAGAATGCTTTTTAGTTCTGAAACATTAGTGAGGTGTGAAGTATTGACTAATCATCAAGTGGCCTAGGCTAGAAAAATATTTAGTTTGGGGCTCACGTATCTGTGTTTGGAGGTATTTATTTATGTATATATTTGCTTTGAGCTAAGCAAGGAACTTTTACAAAATATATTATAAATCGAGTTTTTTAGCTATAGTTTTTTGGTTTTATCTACTTCATGAATGTCCTCACTAATGTTTCGTTTGTTTCTCAAAGGATGGTGTGGTCCTGGTCCATTGTAATGCAGGAGTCTCCCGTGCAGCAGCAATAGTCATCGGTTTTCTGATGAATTCAGAAAGACTGAGT